TCAAAGTCTATAAAAAACTACAAAATAGGAGCAGAGCAAACACGGACCTCCGAAACATCAGAGGTGGGATCAGGTTCCATGGAGGAGTGAGCATCCTCTGCAGACCGGACACACCCGCCGTGTGCTCCTTGTCATGATCGGGAGATAACGGGAAAATCCATTGTCAATTCAATGTATAAATAATGGACTAACAATTCGTATGAAAAACGTCAGTCAGCATTTGACTCAATGATAAATTGAATTTGCTGACAAGGTCATTGTATCGACCATAGAACTGACGAAATGATGACTTTAAACGAGACTGCTGATATTCTTTTTTCATCAACTTGCTTGTCAATAATTTACCTCATTTTAGAAACTGTTCATAGAGAATGCTCTTGCGTATCGAATCAACTGAGATACATAGAACTAATTACATGTAAATGTGAGATATCCATCGAGTTAGAAATATAAAAAGGGATAACATTTTAGTTTTTTTCCTTTTTTTAAGTTTCTGAAAAGTTTAACCTTTATAAAGCTACGATAACCACTGTTTTGAAACTTGAAGTGCTGCAGACGAACCCATTGTTAGTTTTATGTTTTTACTTCAATTCGAAATTCAAACATTTATATAGTTTACTGTTTATAAGATAATGATTTACTACTAGGCTTTTTCATCATGTTTTGTTGGAGATTTACACGAAAAATTGTATTTGTGTAATAAATATAATAGCCATCCACATGTTTCAGATAACCTTTCTGATCGGAAGAAACCATGACCTTACATTCCCAAGACATGGGGAAGGGGAGTTTCATAACAAATTCTAGGATTCTAATAGTTTCATATAAGGAAAGTTTACTTTGATGATGCATTTAATGCATTAAATACCTTTATGAAGTAACTTGGAATTTTCCTGCTTCCGTTTGGTGTTTAATTGTCTATAGACAAGCTGAATTCTCAAAGTACATTTACATAGTGCAAGTGTCATGATCAGATAAGTTAACTAGTTTTACGAGGTGGTGTCAAGAAATAGAACAGTCAAAACTAAGAAATTCGTCTTTTCTTCAAGGTGTTAGTAGACATTATTTCAAGTACATTTGTACTAGTACTCATCGACAGAAACGCCATATGAAGCATAATATTTCTGAATATTTTCGAAATTAATTTTTTCATCATTTATAACTATATTAGAAATAAAATATATAACATCCCAGTCATATTAATGATCAAAATGTTTTGAAACAAATGATTAAGCTCAAAATAGTTTGTCAAGTCACAATCTGCAAATGAAAATTTGAAGATAAGAATAAGTAATCAAGCTGGAAACACCATTAAAATTGATAAAAAATTGCATTTAAGTAATAAAAAATATTCACAAAATGAAATTCCTGAAGTTTAATGAAGAGATTTTTTTTTATTTTACCGTCTTATGTCAGAGAGTTCACCGTTCTCAAATCTACTTTTAAAAAATACATTATTCCAACCAATTTGTAAGTATAGCTTATAAAAAAGACGCATTCAAATATGTTGACAACATTACATTATAAGTGTTACTTAATTAGTATTGCAAACACCAGATTTTGCAATTTTAATATTCGTTAGGCGCAAACAGATGAGTTTTTTTTTAATTCAAGATAATAACGCCATAGATTATTTAACACAGGTGTTACAAAATTTAATATGTTTCAGGCAATGGAAATGTTTGCAATGATTAAATGAAGGTTTACAGTACGCGTATGATTGCCATTAGGATCTGGTCTTCAGTTTTAAAAACTGTCATTAGAAATTTATGTAACTATTTTTTTTATTTGAAAACAAATAATTTTTTGAGGAAAATAAATATATCTGAATTTCAGATCAAATATGTTCTATTTGTTCGCTTGAAAAGGCCCCTTCCTAGAATTTTTCAGGCGTCTCGCCACGATTGCCGGTGGAGGGCTGCAATCGACACTAAATCCAACTGAGCAGTATGTTTTTTTTTTACATGTCAGCACCAACTGCAACATTGGACATCAGCTTATATGATCTCTTCCGAAAGAACGGTATCCACTTCCCGCAGTTGGATTTGAACCCACGACGTTAAGATCAACTCCTTAGTTCGCTACTGAGGAACACTTCCGCCAGAAATGAAATTGTATTTTCTTCTCGTTTCCACAGAAAAATAGAACCCTTGTTATGATGATTTAGCAAAAAATCAAAATGACAATCACAATGAAAATATAACTACATCACATGTATTGAATTACAATGGACACGCTTTTAAAAAACATTATCTTCTGCATTTGATACTCAAGCAGACAATAAGTGAAAATATAAATGCTAATTTAATATTCATTTTTCATGCCATTTTCCCCTTTAGAGAAGGTGGCATACTTTACATTAGGCTAGGAGTATCTTAAATTTATTTCCAAAAATCGAAGTGTTCTGACATAATTGGTAAATCCTCTCCATAGTTTCTGGGGAATACACCTTTAGGTACCGGACTTGACTGCACATCTCTCAGGCTTTCTTGGTGATTCGATTCAATTAAGCTTGTAATCTCCTGGTTATTAATTTGACTAGTTTCTTTTCTTTCTTTCTCTGATTTATTTGTAGCTATTTGATAAAAAATAAAAGATGAAAAAAAATGTGTACGTGTATTATTTATTTTGTTTGTAGTTTTATCTTTCTATGAAAACCACGTCAAGTATTTGTAGAAGAATGTAAGTTCATATGTAACAAAAAACTCATACGCACTTTTTGTGTCTTTCATCTTCTTGTCCATTCTTTTCATTCTTCTTTTAGCCCTGAAGCAGTAAAAAGTAACATTTAACTAAATACTTACCTTTATTGACAGAACTCGTAAAAATGCAAATGTATCAACTACATACGTTGTATTTAGCAATCCTTTCATTGAAGGTGTGGTATACGTAAAGAAAAAGAAAATAGAGAGTGTTGCCATTGTTGCAATCAAAACTACCAGACACGTTAACCACACGACGTTCCAAGACGACGTGATAAACTTCTCCGGCATTTCTGTTGTGCTGGTTGTCGTAGTATTAAGCTACAAAATGTAAACAGAACAGAAAGGTTAAAAATCACATGCATTTATTTACATCTGCTGCTATGAATTAAAAAAGATCTGCAACATTCTAGTACCTCATAAAATACAACTCTTATTTTAACAGTTCCTTGATTTCCTCCAAAATCTATGGCTGACAAAGTTAAATCAAGCGTGTCCCCTGCAACAAAGTCTGTCAAGTCCTTATTGACGAATATTGTTCCATAAGATGTAACATCAAAGTATTGGAAATTATATGTTGACATATCCAATCTATATATGACGTCACCATAGCTTGACACATCTGCATCCGTTGCTGTGACATTTACAAGAGCGATTCCGGCCGTTTCATAAGGTGTGACGTAAATGGGGACTTCTGACGAATCAAAAGCTGGAGAATTATCATTTATATCCGAAATGCTGATCACCAAAGAAGTGGTGCATGATAAACTTCCTGTATCAGTTGCTGTCACCTTACATGTGTAGCTAGAAATCTTCTCTGTGTCAAGGTCATAAGAATAAAAATATGACACTCTTCCTGAGTTTGAATTAATGGAGAATCTCCACGAATCTACTCCGCAGCTAAGCTGGAAGGTGTGAGAAGAACCGGCATCTTCGTCTGCGATCACAAATCCAGCATCCGAAAATAAGGTCCCAGCCTATGTAAAAAAGAAACTCTTAAAAATTTTGTAATCTAAATTGGATTGAAGGCAAAGAATTTCAGAAACAATATTTTATAGAAAATAAAAAGAGTTCCTGCAGAAAGCAGAACTCCGATCCTAAGCGTACCGATCCCTCATCGGCCGAGACCGAGTACTGAGTTTGGTGGAAGGAACACGACTCGTTCTCGTCTGCTACAGAGACGGACATGGTGGCGGTCGAGGTGTCCTTTCCGTCTGTGGCAGTGATGATCAGCTGGTATTGTTTAGAAGGAACGGTCTCATAATCGAGTATCGTTAAAGATGTGGTAATCTCTCCATCTGAAAAAGACAAATAGAAAAGAAATTCTTGAAACTATTGAAAAATATTAAAACAGACAATAAAACCTAAAAAGTTAACTAGGAAACTTACTACCTTTATTGAAAATTGTAAATGTTGAAGCACAAGCCTTTAAATCTTATTACATAACTCGATGGAATAAACAAAGATTATTGATTGATTTCCTTAATCTTTCCAACATCTGAAGGGAAAAAACTCAAGTTTTCTTTTTCCTCTATGCATCTAATTGAGTATTGTCTTGTTATTTCGTTAATAAAATGTTTTAAATTGTCAGATACTTGTTTCGTTAATTGTAAAATATGAGGATCCCGTTGTTGGATTATATTCGACGTCATATTGTATTGTGTCCGTTGTGTCTAGATTGTTGACGTCTACTTTGTACAATGTAACTCCAAGAGGTGTGTTCTCCAGCACGTTCCAAGTGGCGCCAACAGGCAGATTACCGAAAAAGGGGACATCATTGACGTCTGAAATAACAATACTTTACAATTTTGCAAACGGAAAACAAAAACGCAGTTAAACTATACTAGTCAATACAGAAAAAAATCAATAAATATTACAATTTTATGTGATAAATAAACGTTGATGATTGAAGGTAAATGATTAATAATTTGAATTTAATTGTCATCCATCTTTTTAGGAGTATGAAGTTTTTTTAAATGATATTTTTGACATTATAATCAACAATGACTGATGTATAAATGAATATCTGCATCAAGTGCAGCACCTAGGGCCAGCAATGTGTTACAGATTTTCCTTCAAGCAATTATGTAATTATTCTTGCTTTGTAAATGGATAGATAAAACTCTGGCTGGTATAGTTGTACGGACATCCGTTACAGTGATGGACAAATCATACCCCGCCTGGAAAACCTCCGACAGGTCTCTTGTCACCTGAATATCGCCATCTAGCGTGAAAGCAAGTAAACACCCATATAAGAATCAAACAATCATCATATTAATGAGGATTCTTAATATACCTAAAATCTTATGATTTTCTATTTTTATCATGAAGGTTTCATATAATTGAAAATTACGGTTCTCAAAGTCTTGCTTATCAAAAGAAGACCTACAGTTGAGTATTTGGAATGGAGCACTGTTTGGACTCATTGTAAAGGTCAGCGTGTCGTTCTCGTCATCATGAGTTCTAACAGTAAATACCACGTCCCCCGCATGTACACTAGAGGCATTTAGAGTAACTTCAGCTTGAAAAAAAGATTGACAAAAATGCTACATGAATCACAATATACTTGATAAAACAAGAAATGTTATACTTTTAGGTAAAATTTCTATGTAAAAATATTTCAGACATGCATTTACATGTAATAATTTTTTTTCTCTGGATAACAGGACTGTGCTGTTTAAATCTCCAATTAATTATTTTCTAATTCATAAAGAGAATAACTTACCAGGCAGATTTTTTGTGACTGGTGGCGTATTTTTCTGGATGTCAACATAGAATTCCCCGGAAGTTGATCCACCAGTTACGTCGGAACAAGACACAACAGTTTTATATTGTTTAACTGTATCAAAACTTAGGTTTGGATTCGGCAGGGAAAATATTCCATAATCTACAGCGACATTAAAAACAAAACGTACTGGACATTGATAGGAATTGTCTTTATTTCAAATGCATAGATTTTTTTTATCAATTAAAGAGGTGAAGGATATGGATATAACGAACAGTATTCAATATCAAAGTCCATAAACAGTACAAAATAGGAGCAGAGCAAACACGGACCTCAAAAACATCAGAGTTGGGATCAGGTGCCATGGAGGAGTTGGGTATCCCCTGCCGACCGGTCACACCCGGGTCTGATTTTGAATCCCTTCACCGGTACATGAATAAAGTGATGCCTGTATATGAGTGAAAAATTCTTGAACATGACATAAATCAACATACAATCAATCAATTTAAGGAAGAACCTGTAGTTCCTTGGATCTGCTGAACTTCAAACGGTGCGTTGGATGGCGATGTAGAGGACAGAACACACGTGACAACATCCGACTGGCGGTCAGACGTACTCAACGTAAACAATCGTAAGCGGTTCACTGTGTCCTCGTGTATAAGACAACTGTCTGGTAAATTGGTAATGATGGGAGGCTAAAATATCAACATCAGTTACAATAACAACTGTTAATCCGGTACAAAATCGTGACAAAAATAATATTAGATCCTTACCGTGTTTATAACTTGGACTGTTATCGTTGCTGCTGCCGAGTTCTGACAACTGTCAGTCACGCTGAGTGAGACTGAGTACCTACCAACTGACAACGCCGACTCGGTGACAATGTAACCTATAAAATACCCGTGAAACATGGAGTGAATATTGTTGCCAAAGCAGATTCATAATCAGAAAAAAAAATATTTTAAGTAATTCAAGCTATCTATAGAAGTAAGGTCCTAACAAAGACAACAACAGACCGCTCTGATAGTTGAGGTGGGCGGTTGAGGTGGTTGGAGTTACGATGAGATCCTCCCGCCTGTCGGGGTCCCTCACACTGACGGTGTACACCCTGCTCCCTACCGCTGTAGTATCAAACACCGTGACCGTCAACCCCATGTTAACAAAGTATGGAGAACCACCTAGTAAAAATTCACAACATTTTTTACAATATAAAAGTAGAAAAAGAAAAAAAATATACAGTCTTTAATGGACCCCTGCCGTTTTCTCGCACATACTCTTTTCATATTAAATGTAAATTTTAATCACCTGTCTGTTTATAGTTATTTTTCTATAATTAAAGCATAAGGAAACACATAAGAAAAACGATGATTAAATATAAGGACATAAAAAGTAAAGAGTCTTAAAATTAACCAATTCTACTCACTATCCGCTGTGGATACTTTTATGGCATATGAGATATCATTAGTATAAGCCACTGATGACCATGTGTATGTATCCCCCTCGTACACCGTCAGACCAGCCGCTAACGTCCCTATTCTGATGTTATCTGGGTACACTGCACTTCCAGAAGAGTAGGATACCACCGGGTCAGAGGGGCAGAACCTTTTAATACAAGAGTTTAACGAATGATTTAAACGATACAATTAGCTGGTTTACTTGCAATTATTTGTGTCATTAAGGATATACGTTGTATCACATGGATTCCAAAGTTTCATTCATAATGTTTGCTCCGATGTCACATTGGAGAGTTATGTTTACCGATGCCGAATGCAAAGAGGTGGCCGGGACCTGGTGAATAAATTAATGGAGCTTGCACCCCCCACCCCCTTTCGACAATTCACTCGCGCGGTTGGCCCTTTTGTAATTATTGATTAAAAGATTTACCAAAAACTTCGAAAAATCAACCTTTCAAATAGCACTGAATCTCAAAATTCTTGGACAAATACGTATTTGGAGTGGACAACCACAGTCCTTATAACAATCAGAATTGGTTAAGGTGTCATGAAGGAGTAAGCATCCCTGTTTGAATGAAAAACGTCTGTCAGCATTGAACTTATTGACAGATTGTATATGTCATCGACTATAGAATTTGCGAGGCAAATATTCTCATATCATCAACTAATTTGAGAACCGTTTGCCTCTTTATAGAAAGTGTTTGCACGTAGAACAAATTAATGCGTCTTGAATCAAATGGGAGACATAAATTGCATATGCAGGTGAAAATGGTATGGTATATTGCTTTACAACGAACGGGTGTCGACAGGAGATTTGAAGTCATCACATTTGTCAGTTTTGTTGTTGACTTGCCGTTAATGCCGTTATTGATTTTTCTAATTAAAATATCCAAATATAAAACAGATCTGTAGTAACTTTTATTTCTAATACAAAGCGATATGTAGAATCAACGTGGAAATGTTCTTAACTGATAAAACGTCGTTGATATATCAAAGCAGGTCACAATAAGAAACGTCTTTAAAAGAAGATTTTTGAATAAATTGATCTTCATGTGAATATGGAAATATCCCGCTAATTATGATAGCGAGGCAAAATTAATACTCATGGGGATTCCGATAGATTTTTGGAAAAACATTCATCAAAAGTAACAGATATTGCCAACGGAAAACTCCATTTTATTTCGTTCGTTATACTTACCAGTCATAAATATACATTAGGATATCTTCCCCTTATTAACGTTCATAACTCGCGGGCAAGCGTTTAAAAGAATAAGATTCAAACACTTATAAGACCGAGATCACATCTCAGGTGCTTGCCCAAGTCAGTTCATCTTCCGGCGTGCAACAGAACGTTCATACTTTTTTGGCAGAGATTTCTCAGCCACAGAGTGATACAAATACTTTGTATTTGTATACGGTATTGGTTTAGATACTCTCTCATGCTCTTAGTTTAAGTATGGAAGAAGCCAGTTTTATTTCGAACGACGAATTAAATTCGGGCTCGGAATTCCAGAATTTACAGTCAGTAATGGAGGCCAAAGGAAAAAAACCGCGGTCCGGTAGGAAATCCTCCAGCAAAGCTAACGAGAAAATGGAACAATTAGAAAACAGAGTCAACGAAAGGTTAGACACTATGATGAATTTTTTAAGAGAAAGTATTCAAACTTTGTCCAGCAGTGTTTTAGAGAATACAGCTTCTCATAATGTACACGAGACAAACGTGTCTCATAATTCGTTAGCGGATCAGGATACCGGTGGTTTATCCACGCGGAGACCTGAGCCCATGGTATCAAATGTAGACGATTCATCTGGAATGCGTCCGATTATACCTTTGGAAAGTGAAGTCCAAATTGAAGGGACATTAAGTGTGCCTGAAATGGACGATATGATATCATTAGCTCCAAGTGTCAGAGAAGTACGTGAGCTATTGGGTGATAACGAATCCTCAGTTCAAGAGGAATCTATTACTGCCCATGATTTTGATAACAATCAACATAAGTTGGACAGCAACAACAACAATAGATTTCAGAACTTGATCAATAAAAGTGACGAGCATACAAAAACTCTAACTGATATTTTTGGCAATGTTTCGTCTTCAGAGGAAGAAAAAACTGGATTAGTTTTAGACAAAACACAAGAGGAGATCTTGAAAAAGTCATGGAGAATTACTGATCCTGAACGCTTGTCTGCTTATAGAGATGAATATAGACAATGTTTCCCTGTTCATCCAAACTCGGCAGCATTTCTACAAGTTCCAGGGCTAGATGACATTTTAGAACCAATGTTAAGAAAAAAACACGGAAATAAAACCAAAGGTTGGGGGAAAAGTAAACATTTAATTTCCCAGCCGTACAAAAGTATTGAAACTTTGGCATATCAGGGACAGATGGCTGCCCGTATGGGTATTATTTCATTAAGCTACATGCAGCAAGCTTTAGGAACGTTGTTAGATTCTATAACTTGTCAAGATGCGGACACAGTTCAAGCAATTAAAGACATTTTCTCCATGTCTACCAAGGCACTAGATCAAATGGGGAGAGCAGGGGCTTTTCACCATCTTATAAGAAGGAAAACTGCAGCACAAGACTCTGGATTATATACCTTGAAGGATATTCATAGCAAAATTATTTGCCTGCCTCTTTCAGAAGATGGCGTCTTTGGCAAGAAATTAGAAGAGAAACTAAAAGAAAGGAAAGAGCAGAAAGATTCTCTTAAGGATTTAATTCCAGAATGGAATGAAAAAAATCAGAAACGCAAATTTTCAGAAAATTCTGCTGAAAACTCTGGAAATTTTAAAAAACCCAGAACTACTACTGTTTTGAATAACAGTTACAGAACAGCTACTCAGAGACCCAATTACTCAAGACGGTCTTATGACTACAAACCAAGAGAGGACAATTCGAGAAATACGTCTACATCTGCTACAGTAGACAGAATTGGCTCCTTTCGGATCCCAAAGAAATCTAATAAATGACTGGAGATTAGAACAGGTAACCAAAATTGCAATGCTTCCCGAGATACCAGTTGGGGGTCGTCTCAAACATTTTGTAGAAAACTGGAATCTTGTAACTCAAGACAGTTGGGTATTATCAATAATCAACGAGGGTTACAAACTAGAATTTCTTCAAAAACCCCAGTTTTTAGGGGTAAAGAAAACAACAATCCCTCAAATACAAAAACATTGTTTGTTAAAAGAGGTAGAAGATTTATTAGAAAAAAATGCAATAGAACCTGTCTCAAATCAGGAGAGTCAAACAGGTTTTTACAGTACATTTTTCCTTGTCCCCAAAAAGGGTGGCAAAATGAGACCCATCATAAATTTGAGACCCCTCAACCAGTATCTCAAGAAGCAACATTTCAAAATGGACACTTTAAACAAAGTGTTGAATCTAGTGAAACCAAACGATTGGGCAATTTCAATCGATTTAACAGATGCATATCTACACATTCCAATATTTTCAAAACATCGGAAATTTCTAAGATTTTGTGTAGAAAACCAGTGTTATCAATGGAAAACAATGTGTTTCGGCCCAACATCAGCACCTCGAGTTTTCACCAAAATGGTGTCTGTAGTAGCAGCATATTTGAGAACACACAATATTCGTCTAGTAGTTTACCTAGACGATTGGTTAATAGTAAACCAATCAAGAGAAATGTTATATCAAGATCGACAGAAGTGCCTAAATCTATTGGTTTCACTAGGTTTCATAATCAACAAAGAGAAGTCTTGTCTAGAACCCACTCAGGAAATTGTATACCTGGGAGCTTTGTTTTTATTCAGACAAAAAATAGTACTTCCATCTCAAGACAGATTGATAAAATTGGTACAATCAACCAAAATGTTAATGCAGGGTCAGAAAACAGCCAAAGATTTTCTACAATGGTTGGGAATAGTAGCCTCATGCATAGATCTTATTCCAAATGCTCGTCTTTACATGAGACCTGCTCAGTTACATCTACTAAGTTTTTGGAAACCAAGCTCTCTAGATTTGGAGAAAATAGTCCCTATTACACCACATCTAATACAACACCTACAATGGTGGTTATATTCAGTAAACATTTCCAGGGGCAGATCTTTGCAACTGGAAGAAATTGGGGTGACCATAACCACAGATGCATCCTTGACAGGGTGGGGGGGTCACCTAAACAATCAAATAGTTCAAGGACATTGGGACAGTTGTCACAAAGGTCTTCATATCAATTGTCTAGAGATGGAAGCAGTGTTTTTAACTCTGAAACATTTTCAAAAACAAGTACAAAACAGAACAGTTTTGATCAGATGCGACAATACGACAGTGGTTCAATACATCAACAAACAGGGAGGAACCAAATCTCCACGTCTTTGTTATCAGACATGGGATTTGTGGAACTGGGCAATAGGTCACAATATCAAGTTGAAAGCTGCTCACATAGCAGGAAAATCAAATATTCTGGCAGACCATTTGAGCAGGGTCAAGATCAGACAAACAGAATGGATGTTGAACAGACAAATTGTTCAGAGAATCTTTCTATTATGGGGTCAACCTCTGATAGACATGTTTGCATCTATTCACAATCGTCAAACGCAGATCTTTTGCACTTGGTTTCCTCACAGCCAAGCATATGCATTGGATGCCCTGACGATATCTTGGGAGGGGATGTTTCTGTATGCTTACCCTCCGATTTGTCTAATTCCCAAAGTTCTTCAGTACATCAGACAGTTCAATTGTCAAGTAATTCTGATAGCTCCCTGTTGGCCACGGAGACCTTGGTACACAGATCTACTTCAGCTTTTAA